ATATCGTGCCTCCTGTTCTTCTCTTGCTTTGCCTCCGCAGTCTAAAGGCCTTTACACACCACAGCCGCAGCTTTCCTGGGAATATTAAAAATATTTTTCACATAATTTCACGGGACGAATTTGCAAATTTTATTAATTTTATTTGATTATTTGCATCAAGCTCGATTTCCCAATTTCTTCGCAGTTCTGAAGAACCACGATCGCAATTAACACACGCGTCGGTGCTGACTATAAAACGACATGTATATAATCAAATGATCCTATACGAGGGAGTACTAGGGCCACATTAATAAAAAAAAAATATAATATTGACGATTGATGTGTATATAATAAAATGATCCTATCATACCTAAGACAGCGCGATAAGGAGGAGGAGGAGTAAAATATATACGATTGATGATTTTGAGATTAAAGTCAAAATAATATTTTGAGAGGAAGAAACTCGAATTACTTCTGTTTCCAGAAAATCTTCCACGGCTGCTCTGCAAAATACTTCGTGTGGACGAGACGGCGAAAGCGTCCTTTGGAATCAGTTTACTGTCCGAGAGAGTGATTCTCCTTCATCACGTAATCACGATGCGTGTTAGTGGTTTGTCTCGAAAGTGCGACTGTAATTGTAACCCCGAAAATACTATTTCGAGTTCAATCACAAGAGGACATTGATTTTATTTTTTATTTTTTTAAATTTTGTAATTGGTCGTCATACTGCTCTAATGTGAAACCCGGCTGGAAAAGGAGATGATGGGCTACTTACCGCTGCTGGCGATCCCTGCTTCTCTTCTTGACCTTCAGCCTAACGATAAATGGATCCCCCTCTCTTTATTCTCCGTCTTCATCTTGGCTGTAGCAGAAATACCCCCCTTATCTTCCTTCTTCGCCTGCCGCAGATTTAAGGAAAAGTCTCCACGTAAGAACCAGTCAGGTGATACAGAGTGTCGGCCGTCAGCAGTCCCGTTACCGGCGTCGGTGCAGGATTTCCGCTGGAACACCATGTTGGTGAACATCGCTGTGTGTGCACATCCGTTAAAAGTTACTTACTTGTTGAAAGTTACTTTATTTTTCAGTGTTACTTTAATGAATCCAGTTCTAATTTGCCAATTCAAATATCTTTGTAAAGCTATTATGTTATATTTGTGGCAATTGACTATTGTTGGCGGCTTAAACTGACTCATCCATAAGAGATGCGCATGAATCAATGTATCTACTGCAATGTTTGTGGTGCTTCTACGACAGATGTGTTAGGCACCTGCAGTTATTGCTAACACAATGCTCACAAAGCCCAGTTTAAACACTCATTTTAAACTAATAAACTAGCTGCGCTTGTAAATGTTTCTAACTTCAGTGATGCAGCCAAAGGACTGATGATCTTATGCCTTTCACAACACTCGCTTCTTCTCAGGATTTACATTCACATCTGGGGTTTTACAGATGGTAATCCGTGAACTGTGATGGATAAGATCTGGATGAGCTGCTGTCATTCATGTTTCTGGTGTAGTCTGCTATTATAGACTAATGGCGATGCAGACATGCCAGTTGGATGTGGTTGGTTCCTCTGTGCTGCTGATAACAGACATTATGATGGCGTAGACATAATTGATATTAATAATAATTCAGTGCTCAGTAAATGCACAGATAATTCGTAATAAGCATTTTAAAAAATTATATTTGTATTCTAAGTGTGATTATTGAACTAATATTGATCATTGCAGATAGTTGTGGCAATTGTTTTTTTAAATGTGAGGTTGTCGTTGCAGATTTTTTTCTGATGTATTAATCAGATATTTTAACCGTGTCATATTAGTAACAGTAATATCACTTTCTCACTTTAGTATTGGAAGACGACTCCTGACACCAGTTGTATGCCTGCATGTAGAGTGTAATCACAAGTGGGCCCCGTGTTTATTGCACCTTCACAGAGGGCCCATTGTAAGACATCCAGGCACCCTGGTCAAGGGAGGAGACTTTTCTTAGAGTGGGAGGTTCAAGGATGAGCTGGACTGAAGGGATATCTGATGTGCTGTGGAATGTTCTTTGTTTGAGTGTCTGTGTGTGTGTATAAGATGTGAGGGCGGTGGCCAAATGTCAGAGATCACCCTGGTGTTTTGGCTGGGATGTTTCTCTCCACACTGCAGTGTGTTTAATAAACCCACTTCAAATTATTGCAATACTATTGCTATACTTGTATAGCAATAGTATAGCTTTTTTTTTTTTAACCAATGGTCCTTTACAACACATTCTCCACTTATTATGTCATTGCACATACTTAAGTATAATTTAAAGCTTTATGGAAGATATGTATGTATGTTTGCCTGATTCCAGCATGGCAACAAGTCTTTAATGAATTTTGTTATTGTAGAGACAGAATGTGAAAATGAATGCATCCCCCCTCTCTTCTGCTACCTTCCTGTGTGCTCATTTGTCGTGTCCAAAAATAAATAATTGAAAGGCTGAGTGTTCACCTTTAATGGGGAAAAAAAAAAGTGTGAACATCCACATGAAGTGAATTATTCAGAAATTTCAGGTTAAAATTCTTCTAAAACATCAGATTATTTGTGATACTTTCATGACTTCTTATTATTCTTTGCGCTCTTCAGAGTATCCTGTCTGTATTTTTATCTCAATATCCTGTTTTTAGGTTAGTGTGAGTGAGTGTAGACATTGGTTGAATCTTTGTAGAAAGAACAAATGCGTGGGAGTTTTCTGTTTTTCCTGCACACTTTTGGCATCCATGCAGCTGGTGCTTACCCTGGTGCTTACACTTATTGATTACCGTACTGTTACTTAAGCTTGCTTTGAGCTCTGTGTGGTTTATTCTTTGAAAAAATGAAAATCGACAGCACATCGTAACCTGCCAAGTCATTAAAGACAAGTAACAAAGGTTTGAGTCTCACTTTTGCTTTTACATCATGGCCGAACTGCCCTTAAAACAAAAAAACAAACAAAAAAAAACCAAGTGCCACAGTGTTGTTTTCATCTTTTTTCTGCCTGCACTGTGACACACACCAGTGTTGTTATGGGCCATACTTAATCTTACTGTTTGCAGTTAGAGACGTTAAGAAGGAGAAATGGGAAAGTCTGTTTGTTCATGTTGTTCGTGTGAAGAAGAGAAATCAGCATTTGCAATAAAACGCTGTTGATATAAGTACAGGTTGTTGTTAGTCTTTGGCTGAGTGCAGTGTTTTCTACTTTGCTTTCTGCTTTTTCACCCAAGCAGAAATAACAAGAATGAACTATGTTATTACAAATGTATAAACTTAATATTGTTAATAGAGTTTTGATCATTATATGCACTAGTTTTGGTCACAAGTGTGGGTAAAAGCTGAACTTAGTTTTAAAGTGAGAACAGTTTCTGAGTGTGTGGCTGTGATCTACCAGATACACAAGGCATGGTGTCCTCCTCAGCTCCCTCTTTGGCTTCAGCTCTAAATTATAAACTTAAAAAAAAAATTGGTAAATTTAAAAAAAAGAAATAAGTTCTTCTAAAGAAAAGGAATGTATGATTGAAATAATCATATATCTCTTCTCCAAACTGGAACATCTGTTGTTTTGCTTATTTTGCATCCAGAGAGATAAGATGTTACAGGGGAGGCGTAATCTGTGATCAGTGGGTTAGATTAGTCAGATCAATACTTCTCTCTTTTTCCACTTTGAGCTTGGCTCGGGTGCCAGGCCAGGCCAAGCTGCCTGCTTGGCAGGGCTGCCTGCTTGGCAGCCCTGCCAAGCAGTCTTGGGAGTGAGCCAGTACATACCTGAGCATCCAGCCCTGATGCACCGATGCCACCAGCCACCTGCAGGGAGTGTGGTTAGGGGAGGTATTTAAGTATGTTTAAATATTCATTCAGGAATTTTTAACATGACATGAATGGTTGGCTGCACTCAATCTGTGAGGATTTGCTTCCTCTTTTTTCTCCTTCTTCCTTTTTTCACAAATATTTTCTGTTCCCTTTCATTTTTCCTTCCACTGATAACTTCCTAGCAGTTAGAAGAAGAAAAACGGTGCCTATTTATCACTTTTGGAAAAAAAAAAGCTGATGTCTGGGCTCTGAGCAACCGTGTGTTTTGTGGGTTTTTTTTTTTTTTTTTTAAGAAACGCCTGACAGTTGGCTGGTTAACTAGTGTGGTGTGGAGTGGGAAGCTTTTGGCTAATAGTTCTTCTGGAATGACCTTATTCATACAAAAATGCTATTTTAATATTGTCTTATTATTGACATGTAGATTCAGATACACAAATAAAAACAAAGTGTTACGTGTGTGTGTGTGTGTGTGTGTGTGTGTGTGTGTGCGTGTGTGTGTGTGTTTTAATGATTAATATCACTCAATACCACTTAGAAAATGACAAAGTCTGGCTGTTCTAAAGCAAAATATGAAGAAGCAAGGGCTGAGACAAGACTTCTCTTAAGCACATTATAACTGTACAGCTGTGCTCATAAATGGGGGTGGGTTTCGATAATTGATTTTCCAATTAAAACCGATTTTAGCTTGAATAGCGCGATTCGTTAAATCCTGAATCGATTTTTAAATATAAATGTATTTTGCCAGAAACCAATTTCAGCAATCACCAAACAGCTCAAACAGCAAACCAGAGCAGGTAAACGGATTCTGCACAAAGACGTAAACACAAAGCGCGGACCCAACGCATCAGGATCAGTGAGCTGTCGGCTTTCTCACCCGACGCCACAGACACGGGGCTGAAAAGCCGACATATCACAGATTCTGATGCTGCAGGTTTTGTCACTCTCCAACCAAAATGGATTGAACCAGGAGCAAAAGAAGATCCAAACTATGCTTCACATTTCGCTTCACTTAAACTTTGTCATGAATTCACTATTACTTTTGCTGTTTTGCTTCCACCACGATAAAATCCCAGTGGTTTAAGCTGGTTTAGATATTTCATTCTTGCAGTTTCACAGCATCCTGATTGTTGTTCCTCAGTTGAGGTTTCACTGGTTTTCAAACCATCAAACACTTGAGATTCACACGTGTTTGTTTGTGTGTTGCAGGAGTTTCGCTCTGAATCGTGACCTCCTCTTTGTGCTTCTGTGGCTCGTGGGACCATAAATTGGTCACCGTGGCGACCAGCAGGATGATTGAAAGTCCCCCGTCTGACTTTCTGAGGTCAGCCGCCACTGTTAGTGTTTATCTCATATTATGTCACATCTAAAATCCTGTGTAAATATGAATGAGTGGTGATTAAATTAAACAAATAAAATGTATTTTTCTTTTTTTCCAGTGTTCACCATCACTCTGCTCTGCAGCTGGTCTCCTTTTCCACAGTGCAGTGTCACAGTGTTGAAGAGGTGAGTGTGTTAGTGTCACAACGGGACTGAACAGACTCACGCGCAGGCCCTAAGTTTAGGAAACACAAGAGTCTTTATTACAGCACAGCAGGTGATCTATTTACAAAGGTGTGGTCCAGGGTGTCCACACACAAATGGGAAAGACGCTGAAAGTCCACACGCACTCCGTCCACTCCTCACGCTCCTCTTCACACTCCACAGAAAACACGATGGCGCACTCCACTCCTCGCACACTCGATCACGCAGGAAACGCAGGGGTTGGTCCAGCGACGAGAAGCACAGAGGTGCCGTCTTATAAAGGAGCTGGAACACTCTCGTGACGAGCCACAGGTGCGTGATTGCAACCAGGTGCGTGGGTCAAGGGCAGGAGCCCACAGGAGAGCTCCGCCCAGGTAGATGGAGGAGGGAGAGAGAGGAAGGGAGAGAGCACGAACAAAAATGAAAGTAAAAACATGTAGCCATGCTGAGCCGACCGGGTAGGCACAGGGACCCTGACAGTTAGAGGAAATGTTCATGTCAGGGTTAGTCTGTATGCACTCAGAGGTCATTTGTACCTGCTGCTGCTGCTGCTGCGGTTGTAATGATGTAAACCCTGATTGGTTGGATAGTTTGGTAGGATTTATCATTGATAAAATGACACAGCACTTTGGAGTCTGTACCTGCTAAGAAACAAACCCAGCAGACTGTTTCACTCTGTCAGTGACTTTATGTTTGTTGTATGTTTTTCTCCTCAGATCCTTCAGAGTGTTTAGAGCTCATCATTAATGAATATTTGTGTTTCAGCTGCGTTCTTAAATATCATCAGGGTTTACACAGGCAGTTATTTGTACACAAAGGTGACTGTTTAAAGTCATATAAAGCTGCAGATTTATTTTCATGCAGTGATTGTTTACTGAATCAGTTCACTGGTGATCTTGGACATTCAGGGATTCTTGCACTGGGGACAGCTCTAAAGCACAGTTACAGGTAGCAGAAGGAAGATTGTTCCACTGAGCTTCCACCCTGATATTGATCAGCTTGTGCACTTCAGGCTCAGATGGATCAGAACAGCCGCAGTCAGGATTCGTGATCTGAGTGACTCTTTGAGGTTTCATCTCGATGATCATCCCAAAGACTGGTGGTGGTGAGATTCTTAGTTCTGTTAGAAAGTAAGCAGCTTGTCCACTGTATGTATATTTTCACCCTTAATAATTACCTTATTGAAAATGAGTGCTGTGTATATGACTGGTTTAAGAAATGACACGGGTCGAATCGTCTTACGTTTCACGCATGCGCCGTACAGGAGCATTTTCAGTGTGGATGAACAACTCTTTGGAAACGATTGAAAACGACTCAGAGCGTTTTTAGACAAAAACGCTGTTTTCAAATGTATCCGGATTAGTGTAGACGTAGCCTTAATTGAATTGCCTCTACACTATTTAGATTTTTAATGCTGTAACTGCCCACATCAATATCATCCATACTTTCTTTTTTTCTCTGCTTTTTTTTAGCTTTAAAGGTAGTGATGGACTCAATATTGTGGTGCAGTACGTCAGCTGAAATCTCTGAAGCACTAAAGTTTCTACGACCCACGTGTCTCATGTTGAAATGAAGAGCACTTAATTATCAGCCTCCTTTTAATCAGATATGTCTGATGGTGAACACAAGCCTCCAGCAGCCAGCTGTCTGAGCTGAGGAAACAAAAGGCACACTTACAGTCTAAGCTTTGGTTTCCCACGAGCGTTAGAGTTAGCCTCACTGCTACGGTGTCATGTTGCTTTCACATGGATGCCACAGGGATCCTGCACTCACGCTTCATAGAAAGTGACTGCGGTAAATTACATTACACAGATTTAGTGGTTTCAGTTTATTTATTAACTGTACTTACTGCACGGGAGCAGAGAGTCCAAGATGAGTCAGTCTCTGTTGTGACTTTATGAGATTTCCAAATCATTGCATTTACATTTTAAAACACAGAGTTTGTAAAACTGTGATTCAGATTAATTTAATTTTAGCTCATTGTTCTCCTGCTGGGCCCCATCTGTTGGTTCATGCTCACTGCTCTCAGACTGTGTAGTTTGCAGAAGCAACAGTATATTCTCAGCACAAAGCAGAGCACGTTACTTAACAGCCAGTGGAAACAGTGCAAACCTCAGGAGTGGAAATCAAAGTGATTCAAGTCTTAACATTTATTAAAGGCTGTGTGGGAGCGCTGAGTAAACAAGTGCTGCTGTGGAGCTAATTTGGAGCAAACTGCTTTATGTTTCCTTTAACAGGGTGATTCTCTTCAGTATTACTGGTCAACAACTGCACATAATCCACACTGGAACTGTTTGTGTGTGAAAGCAGTTACAAAACTAAAGCAGCTCCTGTTACATGTGCTAATGTGTTGGTGGCTGAGGCTCAGGAGGCTACAGAGCAGATCACTTTCTAGTCTCCCCGTCTAAATGAAAGTGTTGTGTAAAAAAACACCAGTGTTATCCTTTTACTGTCTGATATGTTGTACAGGGTGTATCAGAAAGAAACCGCAGGTCAGCTGATCACATGACCCAAGTTAAAGTCCTCCTTGAGCTCAGTGCACTGGATCCAGCTCTAACTCCAGATGATGATGATGATGATGACGGTCGACCTCTTGGTTAATATGAAGGCTGTCAGGAGACTCATCATAACTCTGCTGCTCCCTCTCTGCAGGTGCTGTATTCAGCTGACATGATGCTGCTCGTCTTCAGCTGTGTGGGTGGAGCAGCAGCAGAGGTGGAGGCTGGAGGATGGTGTGGATGATCAGGTGTGTGTTTTGTTTTTTTTGTTTTGTTTTTTTACAAGATTTATTTTCATTTTTAAATTGAAAAACAAACAAAGCAAACAAAAAACTCACAACTATGGCACACAGCAAACATCTACAACTAACCACAACATGGCAGGCTGTTGTGACCACAGGAGCACTTCTAGGTGCACACTCTTGTATCCATGCCTTTCAAGGATAACCTCAGACTTCTGAAAACTACGTAGCCAACGTAGCCAACGTACGGAGCGAGATCTCGCAAAAGTTTTAGCCGCATTCTTCGGAGGCCGCCAGCTCGAAGCCGACCGGGATGTCAAGGCACGATGTGCCGGGAGAGCGGTGTTCCCCCCGGCTGTAGTAGGTCTCAACCTGCCGTTAGCTTCGAGATGGTGGGTGTCAGATGTCTCCGAAAACATCAGAGCACTTTTGCAAATATGTGATGTCTTGTAAACTGAGCAGATATTTGACATTTACACAACTACATTCACACCTCAAAATATCTTAAAAGTTATTATTGTGACCCAGAAAGAGTAATATTACAACTAAGTAGCTGCCGCCATCAATCATCTTAATTTTTTTCTCCCATGTCCCTTGCGGGGCTCCATAGAAAACCAAACACAAAAAGTAATAACATAATGACATCAGGCACTCAGCTGTTCTACAACTTTTACCTCAGAGGATTTGAGCCACCTACAGATTCTCCTGTACCTGCCAGCACACTGACACTTTGACTATCACAGGCCTGTGTGTGGACATGTGGACGCTCTGTTTAACAATGATATTCATTTTCGCACTACTTACTACTGACATGCAAGAGAGGAAGACCAGGGTTCATTTCTTTGATTACATCTTACTAAATGCAGGGTAATGACTGTGTAATGTGTTGAATTTAATGTAATGGACTGTCTGAGCACATCTGCTGATAAGCTGAGTCAATAGAAGGAAATCCTGTAGATAAGCAGCTCTAAGATTTACTGTCTCTGCTGCTCTGAACGAGTCCTCTGAGCTTCAGCCGCAGACACAAACCCTCAGATTTATCCAGTCAGATTCATTTACAGGACCTGAGGGAGCAAAGCAGACACAAACTGCAGAATATTTTATTTATTGGTCTGTCAGCACCTAATCAAGCCTCTCTGACCAACTATTGTTGAAGTGCTGGCTGATTGTGTGAGGCTGCAGCTCCATCTGTCTAATGTTGGTGTAGAGGTCATCCTTTCATCAGCTGCTGCGACAAAACCTTAAAGCTCAGATAGAGATAACAGGTGTCACACAGTAACTGTGAGATGAGCTGTATCTGCTGCTGGGAGGCTGAGGTGGAGGTGGCTGTGATAAAGGTGCTTAGATTTGCACTGGGAATGACAGCTGTCAGGTATAAGAGTAAATATATCTGGTTAGTTTGGACTGTAGAGGATTATATTAATTTGATATTGAGCTGGGAGTTGTGGGAGGATTGCTGTGGTAGGTGTGACAGAGCAGAAGTGAGTGATTGAAGGAGAATGATTAGTTTAATAAAATGAAATAAAATGTCTTCACATGTCTGTGAAATACTCAGCTTCAAAATAGAAAGTGCTGTCTCACTGTGACATCTGTTAGAGGATAGCCTGTACTGATCTCTCAGTGCATTATGTGCTCAGTTGAATCTGACAGTGTTTGCTGCCACTCACTGCTCTGGTGTGTACACATGTTGTACGGCCATAAAACTGTGAGAGATTCAGTTCTTGAGTGTTTCATGAGGCAGATCCTGATTCTGTCAGCACAGCTTTTAATTTATTTCCTGATGTTCACAGAGTTTCTTGACTCCACATGTAGAGTTAGTACTACCACCATAAAAACTGAACTACAAACCAAGTCCAGCATAGCTTAGCTTTCTTTGCATTAGCTGGCTCATAAAAGCTCAGATATAACAGACATGCTTCAGTCTCTGTTTGCTATCACACTGAAAGTGATTTCACGTCTCCTTTCACACCTACTTCAGTCCAAAACAATATTAGAAGAACTGTTGATAGAGATCAATAGAATATATAAGAAATACAATAGAAACACAGCAGTGGTGCTGATAAGTGAGGAAGAGGAGTAAGCAGTGCTGCAGACGATCAGTATGTAAGCAGTGAGAGAAAGTCCACAACAAAGTTATTAAATCATTGTTGACTCATCTGCAGCTCTGAACACATGACCCACTCAGATTATCTGTTTCCATATGTTACCATATCACAGAGACGCCTTCCTGATAATGAAACTTGACTTTAGGCTCCGTGTACCTCTCAGCCTCTTAAGTCACTCTGTGGTGCTCTTCATGTCAGCTGTGGTATTTGCTGTGTGTTTAATCTGTGCACACAAGTTGTTTTGCATGATAAATACTAACACACTGATGTGTAAACACTGAGAACAGTGACTAACAAACAAACCCATAAACAGGAACGACCCACCTCTTATATGGTTAATGAGAAAAAGTCAGTTTTTTATTTACATGCACAAACCAGCAACACTTTACTGCAAACAACTTCAGACCCTTGAGCAGTTTTCAGGAAGTTAGGACTGAAATAATCTCTGTTGTTGTTTGTTTAATGATCTTAGTGCTGATTTGATCTTTTCAGCTTGTTTAACTGAGTCTTAATGTTAATGCTCTTTAACAGTCTGTGTGTGTGTGTGTGTGTGTGTGTGCGTGTGCGTGTGTGTGCGTGCGTGTGTGTCACAGTGCGATGCAGAGCTGCTCCTTACTGAACTGGACCCTGCAGAGCACTGAGGGCGTCCTGTCCAGCATCAGGACCAACTGGCAGGAGTTTGTGGAGGACCTGGACTTCTGGAGGGTCCTGCTGCTGCTGCTGATGGTGGTCATCACCCTCCTCTCCCTGGGCCTTACCTACTACATCAGCAGAGTCCTGCCTTTCTCAGGGTGGAGAGGAGGCAGGAAAATAAATGAAGATCTTTATGTAGAACAAAAACTCTGGTGTTTATTTCTTGTGCAAATCTGATCATTTTATTGGAATCTGAACGACATCATGTGACGCTGTCAGCACGAAGAAGAGAGGACGGTGACTCAGAGACACCGACAGCTTCATGTGTGGCCTAACACCTTTACAAGCACTCATTGATAAAGTCACCTTTACATCCCTGTTTGCTCTGTTACAAGCTGTATATTGCTGATGTTTTGTATCTTTTCATTGTTTTCTCCTCACTTGTTATTTATTCAAATGTCTTTGGTGTGAATTTTTCCCTCGCTGGCTGCAGGTATTTATGTGAAACAAATACCTGCAGCCTTTCTGGCTGGAAACAGTTTTGTCAGGATATCTTGATGTTCTTTGTTAAAGGTTTTCAGTGTTTATTCCATCAAACATTTGAAGTCATTTAATGTGCAAAATGAATAAAATCATGAATGACTGTAATCATCATCAGGTCACTTTATTATCCACTTAAAACTTTATTGGCACACAGCAGCTTCCCTGAGCTTTTTACAAAAAGCAAAGTAAACACAGTAAAGACTAAATCTGTACAAACAGGCAGGACAATATACAAATTCCCTGTATGTGTCTGCACATATACTTGGCCAATAAACACGATTCTGATTCTGTTACTGAAGAGCTCTCATTCATCCATCTTGAAGCTAAATTATGCATTGATTATGTAAGCAGATGATTTACAGGCATTACTTGATTTATTGGAAGACAAACACAAAATAATAAAGACAATCTCAAACATTGTAACAGCAGTCAGCCTCAGCAGAAGGAAAACGGAGGATTTCTAAACCTGAGACAGTGGAGTTGCACAGTGGTGCCGTCATAAAGGTGGCGAGTTCAAATACTTAAAGGGATGAGCTGTTGTTGTTCTTCATTCATCAGTTGTGGGTAAAGTCAGGGTTTCCATTTGACTTTAGCATCCTGTGCTGGTCACAGTCTGATTCTCTGCCCTCTTCAGTGCCTCCTCCTCCTCCTCGAGTGCACACATTAAATTTCCTGTCCCTCAGAAACCAGCAGAGCCAAACCAGCAGGGCAACGATCACAAATACAGCTGCTGTTATGAAGAATGTTCTCCACGACCAGTCGGAGCACTCTGATGGCTGCAGAGGACAAGAAGACAGAGCAGAAATATTAGTTAGCAGTTTTAACTGACTTTTAATGCTTTCAGTTAAAGTTAAAATAAAACAGCTTTACACTGTAAAGCTCAACATAAAGGTGAGATCATTTTATACATTCTGTGTGTCAGTCCTCGGTGGACAGACCACAACCCTCTATCTTTGCACATCTGTAAGCACATGTTCCTGCTGAACCGCTGCGTCTGAATTTTGACTGTTCTTTGCTGACAGGACCGGTTGCCTTTGGCCTGTCCTACTAATCTTCATGGCCACGTTACTTAAAGTCTTTCAGTCAGTCTGCAGTGATTAAACTGTGGACGATTAAGGTTTAGAGTGACGTGTGAAACTACTTAAATTCTTACCGTCGGTGTGGTTGTAGGCTGTGAGGTGCTGCCCGGTGGTGGTGGTGATGGTGTGGAGACGTGCAGGTGGACAGCAGAGCGGTGTTTCTCTGTGTTCTCCACGTAACAGTAATACACTCCGTCGTCTCGGAGCTGAGCTCGCTTCACGGTGAGGGACAGGTCTCCTCGCTGGTACCAGTCCGATGGTATGGACACTCGGCTTTCATTATAGCCGTCCCCGTAGGTGATTTGCTTAGACCGAGGATTCAGCTCCAGCACCAGCTCTCCGTCTCTCCTCCAGCGCACAGATTTTACTGCCTGACCGACTGTAACGGAGCGACACGGCAGGGTGGCACCTTCATCCCGGGGTGCGACAAGTTTATAGGGCAGAAAAACGTGCAACTCTTCCAGCTCCCCCCTCTGTTTGGAGTTGCAGGCAGAGGCGGAGCCAGACATTGTATACACCCGGGGCTTAGCCCTAAAGGGTAATACGTGCCCGGGGGGTTGGAAATGACAAAAGAAACCTGCTATGAAGTTAAAGATTTATTAGGCTGTGTTGTAAGCTTTAAAGAAAAAAAAAAAACTTAATATGAGAAAAAAATATCACATATGTAGCTTAAAAACAGTTTTTTACTTAAACAGCAAGGCAGAACAAAATTAGGGCTGTTTCAAGATACGGGGACTAAACCCCATTTCAACCACACCCAGAACTGATCCGGAATGAAAACAGGACTACTTTAGTAAAGTAAAGTAAAGTGTGCGTGTTAGTCCCCATAGGGAAATAGTTCCTCTGCATTTAACCCATTCACCCAGTGAAGCAGTGGGCAGCCACCAGTGCAGCGCCCGGGGAGGAGTGTGTAGGGACGGTACCTTGCCCAGGGATACCTCAGGGTAGCTGTTCAGTGGAGCCGAACCCCCGACCTTCCGATCATGGGGCAACCACTCTACCTACTGAGCTATCCCTGCCCGTTAGGACTTAACCAACAAAGAACCAAAATCAAAACTAGATGACAGTAGCACTGAAAATCATCACAGATCTGCACTACACTGACAACACCTCTTTATTGTAGTAACATGAGATTGTATCTTCGAGGCTTGAGTTTTGCAAACCTATCAATGACATTTTCAGGGTCAACATTATCCAAGTACTCCTTTTCAATAGATAATATGGCCAAATCATTCAGCCTCTCTTGTCCCATGGTTCTCCTTAGCCACATGTGGAGATGACGCAAGGCACTAAAAGAGCGCTCACAGCTGCAGCTACTGACAGGAATGGTTAGTGCAATTCTAAAGATGACCTTCAGAGTTGGGAACATGTCCTCGTCAAGCAAGTGGAAGGCAGTTGTGATGTCGCAAATGTCCTCTTTTTCCATTTTTCTTTTCATGAAGTTTTTTGCCACAACAAGTTCTTCAGGCTTTATCATCACATGGTAGTGTGCCACAATGGGTTTTAAGGCACCTTCGGAAAGGAATGTTGAGGAGGATGGATTGCATGCCTGAATGCCCTCCATTATTTTCTGTCCTGCCCCAGAAAATCTGTCTGCTAGCTCCTGCAACATTCGGTCCAAACAAGGAAAGAATATCTCGTACCTAAACTCTGCTGAGCTTGTGAGATTTGGTGTTGCACCACAGCTGGACTCAAGTACAAATCCTTCAAGTCTTTTCTGTTTGTGTCGTGCCCCCTGAGGAATCTGGATGTTGTAGCTTCCACAAATGTCCATGGCCTTCTCAAATATTTCCTCAGTAGCAGCCTCTGTGCGCAATTTACTTAGTGTATCAACTACCGACATCTTGTACTCCACAGCTTTGCCCATGTCTAGCCTTTCTCCCTGCAGGTAGCGGTGCAGGCCTTCGGTGATCCCAAGCAGCTGTGAGAACATGATTAACATGTACACAGTCTTGGGTTTTGAAAGCTTGGACAAGATCCCTTTAGCAATAGGAGTGTTTGTGGCTTCGAGAGTTGCTAAAACTGCAGAAATGTTGTTGAGAAGGGCTTTGATGGAATTTACTTGGCAGGCCCATCTTGTGTTAGAGAGCTGAACAAGCTCAGATGCAAACAGTCCAAGGTCCTTTTGCAGTTCCTTAAACTTTGTGTGGTTTACCAGGGAGGTGTTAAAAAAATGTGTAGACATTTTCCAAAAGTCCAAAGAAGTCAGAAGCAGCTGGAATAGCCTTGCATGTATGGCAAAGGACAAGGTTGAGCTCATGTGCATAGCAGTGCACATATACTGCTTCAGGGTGTCTCTGTCTGAAACGGGACTGCACACCACCCACAGCACCACTCATAACAGATGCCCCATCATAGGATTGAGCAACACAAAGTAAGTCACTGAGCGTGTGATACTGCAACAGCTCCTCAATAGTGTCTGTAATGCACTGTGCACCAAACCTTTCTAGTTTCCGTAGACCAAGAAAACATTCTTTGACATGGCCTTTACATGACACAAAACGTACACACACTGCAAGCTGTTCCGTGTGCCCATCTCTAGCCTCATCAGCCATAACAGAGTACATCTTAGCTTTCTTCATCTCTTTAACTATATTTCCAGTTATTTCATGTGAAATACTGATTATCATCTCATTTTGTGAAAAATGAGATAGGTAGCATGTGAGACAGGACTGTAATTTTTCAAAAATGGATCAAATGTTTTCAGCAGCTTCATGCACTCAAGGAAGTTCCCTTGATTATGACTGGTGGATTCCTGCTCATCGTGGCCACGGAATGGTATTCCTTGTTTTCCAAGGAAACTTGTTACAGCTAAGATCCTGTGGAGATATTGTCGTCTCTCTGAAATCTCTGCTGCGCTTGCTGATCTAAGTTGCTCAACAAGGTCACCTTGGTTTTTTGTGGTCTTAAAGCTGTGCCAGCAGATCATAGAAGACGAATGGCTGGAACTCTTTTCGTGCTCCCTAAAGGCATTTAAAGCCCTCTTCCAATTGCAGAACCCTGAATGACTGAGGCCATCTTTTTTTTAAAGTATTCTGCTTCCCAAAAATGTGACATGAAAAACAGAAAGCCAAGTTCCTCACAACAGAATACTCCAGCCATGTAAACTGTTCAAACCAACTCTTATTAAACGCCCTCTGCTGGCCTCCAAACTGGCTCAGCGGATATTGTGGGAGGACATTTTGTCTTGGACCACTTTCTAGAGTTCCTTCCAGTAAACCTCCTTCAGCTGTCCTTAACGATCCACCTGCTGCTTCCTGCTGTGATGCTGTTGTGTTTTGGTTTTCTCTTGCTTTCCTGATTTCCCCTGACCTCTCTGAATGATCAGAAAGAGAATCATTACTAATTAATGATCCCTCTGTATTTGTCTTTGTGAGTCACAAGTTTGTGCCATATTATTTTTAATTCTACCAAAGTACTCTATTTAGATTCAGAAAAGTTTATATAACTAATTAGCCTTGTGGTGCAAATAAGTTTGCATAACTTAATAAATATAGAATTTGAAAAATAACAAACCTAAAAAGATACACTAGGTACTAGATATGTGTTCTGATGTTTTGGCAAACAACCATTTGACTAACGTCTCACCTGGTTCTTGTTCCATTTCTCTTCTGTCCTCATTCTCCTCTCCATCTCCCTCTCTCACCCTCTCTCTCCCTCTTTGTGCTGACAATCAAACCAAAACCAACATCATCAAATATACAGTTGAAACCAGATATTTACATGCTCTTCAGATAAAAACACAAACACTTATTTAAGGTAAAACCTCAAATTAGACTAAATGTTTAATTTATATTTGTTAAATTTAAGAGTAAAGAGAGAAACTATCTGTATTTCTTAATTGCAAATGACACCCAAATTGTATTCAAACTTGAGCCACACTTATGGAGCTCCACAATTCTTTTCCTGGTGTTTTGGTTGACATCTCTTGATTTTCCCATTTCAAAGAAACAGGCTCTTTTGCCTTATATGCATCCACAGGTGTGCCACCAGTTTACTCACATGGACTCTACTAACCTATCAGAAGCTTCTTCAGCTCAGAATGGAATCGTCTGGAGTTTTCTTATTATTTAACAATAAACTTAGTGTACATGTACTCCTAAATTTGATGAAAGTGATAATAAATAGACTGATCTCTCTCTCTTTATTCTGACGTTTAACTAATTCAGAATATATTTCAATATTTATCTAAAACAAAAGTTTACTCTAAATTGATGTTGTACAGTAAAAATGTTTTATGTTTTCTCCCTAAAGTGTATGTAAATATCTGGTTACAAATGTGAATATCCTGCTGTGTACTGAAATCCCTCTTGTTTTGCATAGAAATATACTGAACAACATACAAAGCATAATATATAAAATAACATTTACCTGAGTTTTTTCTTTGAAAGAACCCTCTAATGTCCATTCTTATATTTCAGTACATAACTGAAACCGATTTAGTCGGGGAGGGTAAGAAATGAAAATATGAAATAAACACACGTAAGCTAAGACTCTCTAAAAAAATAGCATTTGTTCGGCTTTTCATTTCGCCATTTGTTGATTCACTTGAAGAGCAAGTAACGTAATATGGGTCAAGTGATCAGTTTCATATCAATCTTTCGTGATGCACCGTCATATTCACATTATTTTTACGGTACGAATGATTTGCTTTGGTACCTGGTCAAACTTAAGCTCTCCTTAGTATGGCTGGCTCCGTTTCTCCAACAGTGCACTCTCACAGGCAGCAGCTGCCCCGCCCTCTCGCTCAGTTGATTAGTGCCTGAGCTCGGATCATACCAATATCAGGGGGGGATTCACGCACAGTCGTAAATTCCCACAGTGTGCACTATGTGCTTCGAATATTGTGTGTACTTTTTGTTTTATACAGTTGTCAGCCAGGCATCTAACTATGAAAAAATTACACTCCAAAAGACCCCAGGCTTCTGACAAAACAACCCGGGCTTAAGCCCAGTAAGCCACCCCCACGCTCCGCCCCTGATTATTATTATTATTATTATTATTATTATTATTATTATTATTATTATTGTTGTTGTTGTTGTTGTTGTTATAGTTGTGTGAATGCGTTGTTGCACATGACACAGCCGGCTTTGTTACACTTTAACCTCAGATACATGTATTTATGCTGTTTTTATGCGTAATAAACGGAATAAAACACTGATCTTGGCACGTCGCCTCCAGCAGGAAGTGATCTGCTGAGCAGGCACTGCTCTCGTTAGCTACCAGGTTCATTTGACAGGGAAAGAAAAGTGAGCTAGAAACAGTCGAAAATGACAAACTGTCCCCACAGTCTGTGCGGTCAGGGAGATAACGACCTTAGAGAGGTGATACCCAGGCTTATGTACACACCGCAGTTTGGAAACAACGTCTGGACTTCAGGTAACATCTTACTAGCTGAACTTGAGCTAACTAGCTAAAACCTTTGGGAAATATCCAGAAAATGTGGAAGTGTTCAGGCGTCCCCATGATTATTGATGCCGCTCAAATACATCCCAGCTAATGAGACACTAGTTAAGCGTTTCAACTGAACCAGAGGAAGGACTAGAACAATGCTTAGCTTAGCACGGCTAATAAGCACGACGACATCGACAACAAAAGTCTGTTTATAATCCACTTTTAGTGTATCTTATGGTTTTATTGAAACTAGTCTTAATTTTTCTGACCCCAGTATAAGAAAGAAGTTAATGCAATATAATTTTAAAGCGTTTTTATTATTCAACTGGCTGCGCAAGCCGTCACTTTCAGTTCTCCACTGTCGCCACCCTGGTCTGAAAACTACTGTTTTTAAAGACCAGAGAGACACGATTAACCAACTGGCCACAGCTGGGTTGACCAGTCTCTCCCCGTAGCACTGCCCCTTAATCCACTGGACCACCCCTCCCCTGCAGCTGAGCCACAAACCAAACCCTGCTGCCACTGTGACATTTCCTACGATTTACCCACCCAGGCCACTCCTGTTCTCTTGAATACCAGGGGCCTGAGGGTTTTTTTTTTTGTCAGTAGGATGGGGCTTAAATGTGGGTACCTGGGTCCTGCTGGAGGCCAAGGTCTATGGTGGGTAGGTGGTGGAATGTGGTTGTAAGATAGCAAGCTACCGGGGGACTTGACCAGGGTAGGGTGTTGGTCCCTGGGGCCTGCTGGAGGTCAAGATGGTGGAGGGCGAATGTGTGTGCCAGGGCAAGCTACTGAGGGAGTGGACCAGGTTATGATGCGAGTACCCGGAGCCTGCTGGAGGTCAGGGTCAGGCTTCAGCTTTCTTTCTGTCTGCTCAACTGGTTTAATCCCAACATCTGCTCCAGTCTGCACGCAAAATATCCTTGGGCAAGATACTAGATACAGGTTGCTTTTCGATGCATATGCAAATGTTAGCTAGAAAGCAGTGCTCAGAGTAGAAGAACACTTTAGAAGAACATGTCTATTTATTAATACTCAATAATTCCACAACCAGGAGCTTAGCCTTTATTTTCCAGGCTATTTATTTATTTACTCTAATTATTTCTTGTTATTAAAAATGCCAAACTAACTGCAACGCACACATGATCAAAACAGACACAGAACAACCAATTTTATTCACCTTTTAATTCTGTCTAACTAAAACAGGTTTGAATCCGTTAGTGTGACTTTCAATAACTTATAACAAACAAAAGTGACAATATGCAAATATCAAGAATTGCTGGATTTCTTTGTGTCTACATGACTCAACTACGTGGTGCACCACATAGTGCACTACCACGTAGTTGAGTCTACATGACTCAACTACGTGGTAGTGCCACGTAGTTGAGTCTACATGACTCAACTACGTGGTGCACCACATAGTGCACTACCACGTAGTTGAGTCATGTGCAGCTGCACATAGTGCACTATGTGGTGCACCACGTAGTTGAGTCATGTAGTTTTCTTTATTTGAATTTCAGCAATCTCTCTCCAGATATTTCACTGGTGATTATTTTTAGTTATAATGAGGTGATCATTGTTATTTGTTCACAAAAAGGTCAAAAGCTGTGGTGGAAAAAGTGGCCAGAAATGCACAGGAAGGATTGTCATTCCCGAACAGGTCAGCCAAGATTTTCAGCCGTCTTTTCCTGTGCTGAGTCACACATGTGCTGTGATGAAACTTGTTAGACCACCAACATCTGTAGTGTTTCTCATTTTCTCCCTGAGAACTGTGGATGATGTTTAATGATGATGTTTAATCGAAGTCTGATCAGTGGGTTAGTTTGATCAGAAATTTTCCTGCTTTTTCTTCTTTGTATACTTTGAACTAATGAAAAAAATGAATCTGGCGCTCACACTGTCTGTGCAGTCTGCCAGCAGGGTGTCAGTAAGAGCAGTGTTCAGCCCATAAGATCAGTCTGTGTCTTTCTTATTGTTTTGGAGGTAGAACTCTGTCGGCATGTCAAGTTTCTTTCTGACAAATGCAGAATCTTGCAGTAAAATCTGCCATCATTTATCTTTCCGGCGTTTCCATTGTTTATATTGAAGAGTAACAATGATGGAGTGACTGAGCGCTCAAAGTGCCTGTTAGTGTTGGTGTATGAGGTGAAATAGTCCCACTTACTTTTAATTTCAGTTTTCTGTGAGTCACAGCTCAGCAGCATGAGATGTTCATTTATAGCTTTTTGTGGAAGTACATGTTTGCAGATTACATTTGTTTTCTCACTGATCAAGCTAGAGAGGGAGAGCTAGTGTTCTGACTCATGCTGTAGACGAGTGGCTCTACGAGTCCACAGTGTTGGCTTCACTCAACTATGAAGGCAACACTGTGTAAAGAAGTGCTGTCTGTTGTTCAGGGAGGTTTATAATAAAGTGTGGCTTGTGGTGGGTTGTGTTGTGGAAAGTAGTTCCTGTTACATTTGCTGTGGGTCAGGATGCAGCAGGCATGTTAACACTCACAGCTGTGGGTCACATATGCAGTTTGTAGTTCTGTTCCTGGTGAACTCTGCGTGAACTCCCAACCAATCAGCATTCAACAGACTTCTGTGTCCAGCGGGTAGTGGGTGAACACCCCTCTCTTTATGAATTACTCTCAGCAGTCAGGCCCTCGTCCTCCTTCAGGAAGGCCAGGTTTGTGTCTGCTCCTGCTGAGATCTTTGTGTGTGATGCTGACTCGTCTCCTTTGGGCTTGACTCATTTTTCTCGAGGCTTCTGCAGCAGTGAATCTTTCTGCTCTGGTCCTATTAGCCTTATTCACTGTAATCATTTATAATGTTGTTATTGTTATTAGGCGTGGAAAATTAGTTTAAAAATCCAAACATGATTTACACAACTTTCCATTAACTTCAGCGCACCAAACAACCAGTTCTTATATTAAAAAATGGGGAAGAAGGATCGACAAATTCATGGCTTAAAACTATCACAGTAGAACTTCTTCTTTTCTTTTGTTCTCCACTTTCTTCAGTTTACTCTGTTTTTTTTTCTTTTTGAGGAAACACTGCACACCAGCTGAGATGTGTCATGTTTTTCAGCTAACGTTTTCTGCCACACTAGCTCTTTGCATTTAGAGCACAACGTTCAACTTTGGTCTCGTCTGACCTGAGCACCTTCTTCCACAAGTTTGCGGCGTCTCCTACATGGCTCATGGTAAACTGCACTTTTTATGTCTTTCTGTCAACAATGGCTTTCTTCTTGTCACTCTTACAGTTACAGTTGACATGTGGACACATTCTCCCACCTGAGCTGTGGATTTCTGCAGCTTCTTCAGACTGACCATGGGCCTCCTGGAAGCTTCTCTGACCAGGATGACCAGGTCTTGGTAGGTTTGCAGTTGTAGCATGCTTTCTCTATTTTTGGATGATGGAGTGCTGCTTGAGATGCTCTTGGGATATTTCTACAACTTTATCCCTGTCTGGTGACTTCCTTGGTCTTCATGATCCTGTTTATTAGCTAATGTTATCTAACAAATCACTGAGGCTTCACAGAGCAGATGTATTTATAATGAGACGAAATGACACACAGGTCAACTCTATTATCTAATTCGGTGACTCTGAAGGATCTTGATTGCACTGGATTTTAATTAGGGGTATCAGAGTACAGGGGGCTGAACACAAATGCACTGCACACTTTTTAGATTTTTATTTGCTTAAAAAAAACAAAACGATATTCACAAAGTTTAGCTTTGAGGACATCATTTGCAGTGAAAACGTGATAAATCACTTTGTCTTATTGCAATACTCAGAATGTTGCAAAATGTTTATAAATCACATTAATCTACTATCATGAGGGAAGTATTGTAATAGGAGCCTATCGTGGGCTGTCTGGGGATTCCCGCCTCTAGTTGCCCACCGTATTTATTCGCTGATCTGCAACATTAACATCCATCAGCACAGCCCCAGCAGGCAGCCAGTGTAAACCACAGTGATTCAGCTATCTTTTTGCCACAGTTGCACTGGTGCACCTAACTTTTTTCTTAGGCTCACCAGCACAAAAGTTAGGCATGCCCACATTTTTCAACCGCATCCCTTAACACCGCAGTTTTACATGTGCACTTTTTTTGGGGGGAAATTTGCTGTCCATATAAACAATATTGATTTGTAAAAAGAACGCCAGCTGCTGAACCTCATCTCTATACACTGACTCATCGTTGCTGCTGGTGAGTCCAACCACGGTTTTGTCATCAGCAAACGTGGTTACAGCTGTGTAGAGCGGTGCAGTCATGTGTCAGGAGAGTGAACAACAGTGGGCTGAGAACACAGCCCTGAGGAGCTCCTGTGCTCAGCCTGATGGTGCTGGAGAGGTTTTCGCCAATTTGGACGGACTGAGGCCTCTGACAGGAAATCTAGTATCTGCAGAGAGCGGTACTCAGTTCCAACTTGCTGAGTTAGTCAAACAGTTTTTGGGGGATAATGGAAACCCTCTGTTGTTAGTGTCACAGCTGCCGAGGCAAGCCCTGGGGTATTTGTGGAGAAAGGGACCCAAAATGCAACATGCAAAGGCTGTGATGTGAGTGAGTGTTATTTTTACAAGTGACCAAAGTGGCAGAAACTGGGAACGAGGAATGAAAAGCTACCAAAACCTATACTGGGAAAACTAAAGACACACCTGAAAACATGACACGAGACGCAGAACGATGAACAAAACACCGTCAAACGCAGACGAACCAACAAAGAGCACAGTCCGACACCCACTATAAATACACACACAATCAGGCATTGAAGCTCAGCTGACCCTAATTCACATGATGACAGGAAGACACAAGCTAAACACAGAAATAACAGATACAGACCTTCAAAGTAAAACAGGAAGTACAGTTTTACAATCACACACTCAAGGACATGAACAAAACGCCGGGAGAGCGCGCGGGCAGGTATAACAAGACACAAAAACCAAAAAAACTTTAAGGACTGATACAAAATCAGAAGAAACTAGAATATAATAGTAATAAACTCAAAACGCTGAGTCAGCGACACAGGACCATAACAGTTAGGATGTTGGGTACAATGAAGATTTCTTGACCAAGCATACATTCTCAGATTTTTGCTGCACATGTCGCTGGCAATGACTCAAGAGGACTCCCTCTCAGTTCGGGGAAATGTGGTGGACTGAGGTGAATTTGTTGAGCCGTGCTTTTCCCCCCTCGATTCTAGAGTCAAATGTGAGGCCATCTGTCTGACAGCTAAAGCTTGGTTCAAACTGGCTGCTGCAGAACGACAATGACTTTGCTTTTCATAACTGACATGTGTGCATAAAGACAGAGTGAAAAACTATTAAACGACTGATAGATGATCACCATTAATATCAGTTAAAACAGTGACTGAGAGCACAAAAGATCACATTAGTTAATTTTCTGTTTGTGTTCCTGTCATATTTTAAACACAAACGTTAGAGATGTCTTACAGTATACAGCAGTCTAATGGTCCTGTGTGTGTGTGTGTGTGTGTGTGTGTGTGTGTGTGTGTGTGTGTGTGTGTGTGTGTGTGTGTGTGTGTGTGTGTGTGAGTGTGTGTGTGTGAGAGAGAGTCGTCTTTTATCAGTATTGATGGTGTTTAAACAGGAAATTACAATCACAATGTAACTGAAGTAGCTTTGAGTGGTTCAGTCATTCAGTAGTAGATTAGCGTTAGTTTAGTGTCACTGAGCTACTGAATGAGTCCACTGAGCTTCAGCTGGCAGACGGCCAGCCTGTCAGTTGTCTGACAGTATTGTTGTGAATGCAGTGGAAGTGAGTGTAGAGAGAGGGAGAGACCAGGCCTCACTGTTGGGCCATCACTGATGTTATTGTGACAGTCAGAACAAAATGCCCATGGCCTGAATTTAAAAAGTGGACTCCAGACGACTAATGCCCTCAGTTTGTTCCACTTTCAGTTACATTCAAGCACTCATATTATTGCTGAATGAACCAGTAACCCTTACCAGCAAAGTCCCAGATTCAGAGATCTACGTCCTGACTGTAAAACTGCTGCTTGAACAGTGCTGATCATTTTAGTGCAAATTTGGCAGCAGGTCAAGTTATGTCTGTGTGAAGGACTGAAACCTGCCTGGTTACACAGAAACTTCCTTTGACAGTTTTTATGATACACAAGCAAGTACACAGTTTACTGTAGGTCTTATTGGTCTGTTTCTACATGCTGAAATACATACTTGCCCTTCGTGGTGGTAATGCAGGCTTTTAGGGGCAGCCAGTTTAGGCAGAGCTGGCTGGATGTTTATATTTGTTCTGAGATAAATGCTGGAAGGAGTGTGTGTGAATTTCTGTGTAACCTAATAAGCGTTCACATCTTCCCTTTTTTTCTTCTTCTTTTTGCTTCAGTCTCTGTTCACTCACTTGAATGTGAAATTCCCTATGACCAATGCTGAGATTACTCAGCAGTTTCTGTTTTAGACAGAGGACTTTAGTTGCAGTATTTAGGAAAGCTTTTCACATTTGACCTCTTTGTTCATTAATGCAGGTACGCTGGATTCTTCTGATACTGACTTAAGAGTGTCCAGCAGGCTGACGGTCAACATCTGGTAAGAAATCTTGTGCTTTCTCTCTTTTGATGAACTGCCCTTTTCTTTATGTGTAATACAAAATCCAGCATTGATCATAAAGGTAGTAAAGCAGGCGACATCTTTTTGCCTATTGATTGATTGCTCTGTGATTTAAATTTAGGGCGCTATTTTTATCAGGATATATCAACAAATTTTGTTATATTATTCACAACAATATAGGAACAAATACTGAATAAAGTGTGTTGTTAATTCAAAAAAATTAAGAACACACTTCTTTGTTTGAACTCATTTGTTGATGCTTGGTTCACATTCCTGCCTGCTTGTTTCTCTTCACTCACGCACTGTCACAGTTTGGGTGTTATCAGTGTAAAGTTTAGACTAAGCTTCAGGTTCCAGCCTGCCTTGAAGACGAGGAGTGTGAGTCAGTGCACATGACTGACACCATCAAATATATTTAAAGTTAACCAGTTACTCCACTCATTTTACACTCATGCATAGATCATATGCTTTGTGTTACACTCACCGGTTCTGTAGTAAATCCCACCCAGTTAGTCTGGAGTCATTAATTACAGAGAAATTTTCAGAGTTTTCATCTCAGAAAATTGACAACATCATTTTAGGCTTAGAAAGCTACAATTTTACTGCAGAATTTCAGACCGTGCACAATTTAAGAAGTTTCGTCTTCCTTTCTCTGTTTCCTCTTTCAACGTTTCTTTGTTTCACTTTTAACCAAAAAATGTGCAGTTGAAACATGAAACACAGGTTGATTGGCTCGATTCTGTCATTGCAGTGGAGTGAATACTGAAGGGAAAGTTATTTGCATATACTACAGACACACTATTGATGGATAGGAATCCTTCACAGTTTGAACATCACATTAACATAAAATTGGGCAGATTTAGTGACATTTTGAACATTCACTAAGTGCTGTGCAGCTGAGTGACTTCAGTCTATTTATGCATGAAGGCTTCATTACCTCTTTGTTGTGTGCTGGCACATACTGTGCATTCACACACAGTTAAAATGTGGTTTTATTTGCATAAACTGCTGAGGAGCATCAGTTCATTCATGCACAAGTAAACACAAAACCCCATTTGAGTTTTGATCCTGATGATCATGTTTTTGATCCTGAGGATCAACTGAGGATGATCCTCTTCTTAGTGTCATAAAGGACGGGTACTCGAGAGGGGATATTTGATTAGTCACAGTGAGTGAGTGACAAATGCAGGGTCTTCTGAAGCAAAACATGAAGAAACAAGTGGTGGTTCAGGACTTTTGCACAGCACTGTGTAACTGTATAGCTGTACTCATAAATGCCCCACTCGTTCCAGGATGTCGAAGTGTGCATTTGTTGACACTTGGTTCACCTTCACTGCCTGCTTGTTTCTCTTTACTCGTGTCATCACAGTCTGGTTGTTGTCCACAGTGTATGTTTGCCTCAGGCAGTGAAAACAAACTTTGCAAAATACCCAGATATGAGGAATGAAACTATAGAGATTCAGTTCTCAAGTGTGTACCACTTGTTTGCATTACATGGCTCAACAAAACGTGAAACCTCAGCAAACTCTTGATTGTGTTTTATCTTTGATTCTGTTTTTTCTTTTTTTTAGTCTCTGTGCACTCTCCCTTGAACTTCTTTCACATCTACTTCAGATTACTTTTGACTTGACCTACTTTAGTGCTTAATAAAGAATATAACAAATACAGCAGCAAAAGCAGCACTGGCACTGATGAGTGCAGAATTCAATGATCTGTGCATTTTGTTGCTGTTCATTTAAAAGGGTGAAGCAGGACATGTTGTCTTCAGTCAGTGACAGCATTCACTTTGCTCTGTCACCACGTAACCACATCCCTGTAATCAAAACAGTGTAAACCATGCTTCAGGTTCCAGCCTGCCTTAAAGACAAGGAGTGTGAGTGTGCACATAACCGGCACCATCAAATATATTTAACCAGTTACTCCACTCATTTTACACTCATGCATAGTTCATATGCTTTGTGTCACGCTCACTATATACCATTGTTTATTTTTCCTGCTGCTTGGTGGCTCAGATTGGAGTGTAACATTGATGCAGATGTTAATTTGTTCAACTTCAGGGACTCACAGTGTGTGTTAGTGTTGGTGTATAAGGTGAAATTGGTCCTTACATTTAATGAACATGTTTCTGTTTGTTACAGTTTGGCTTTCACTGAGAGCTTTCCTGGACAGTTTTTATTTATGCACATCTTTTCAGGATGCATTTGTTTCCTTTGTTTCAGCAAGAGAGAGAGAACTATTGTTGAAGGAACAGAGGCAAAACACTCAAATTGTGATTCTCGTTCTGTATATGAAGTGTGAGGTTTCCATTCAATTCAATTCAATTTTATTTATATAGCGCCAAATCACAACATAAGTCGCCTCAAGGCGCTTCATAGATACAGAGAAAAACCCAACAATCATATGACCCCCTATGAGCAAGCACTTTGGCGACAGTGGGAAGGAAAAACTCCCTTTTAACAGGAAGAAACCTCCGGCAGAACCAGGCTCAGGGAGGGGCGGGGCCATCTGCTGCGACCGTTTGGAGTTTCATGTTGAGGATCTTCTAAAAGAATCCACCCTTAGTTTTATCAGTGTATAAATAGTTTTCCAGGAATACAGATACAGACGTGACATGAATGTTGCAATCACTCAAGACCACTTGGAAAATGACAAAGTCTGGCTGCTCTGAAGCAAAATATGAAGAAACAAGGAGTGGCACAAGACTTCTCTTCACACTCTATAACTAAACAGCTGTGCTCACAAATGACTCACTCGGTCACATTAAGATCAAAGCTGTGCTGAATGTGTAAAAAGGGTGTAGCTATTGCAATAAACAGTGTGTTAGGTGGAGGAGTTGTACAGGGAAATTGCCACAGGCAGGAATGACTTCCTGTGTCGTTCAGTGGTGGTTTTTGGTAATCTCAGTCACTCACTGAATGTGTTCCTGTGGCTAACCAGTACATCACGGGGTGGGTGGGAGGAGTTGTCCAACATTGTCTTTATCTTGGACAACATTCGCCTCTCCGACACCACCTTAAGAGAGTCCATCAGCAACCCTCTACTCCCCCAGCATGCAACAGCATAGAGGATCGCACTGACCACAACAGACACGTTGTGGTCAGCATTTTCTGAGCATTTTCTGGCAGATGTTGAAGGACCTCAGTCGCCTCAAAAAATAGAGATGACTCTGGCCCTTCCTGTAAAGTGCTGTGGTGTTTTTAGCCCAGTCCAGTTTGTCAGTGTATACTTTGAGGTATTTATAGTCCTCCACAATGTCAACACTGACCCCCTGGATTGAAACAGGGGTCAAGTGTTTCCTGGTCTTCCTGAAGTCCACGATCAGTTCCTTGGTCTTTGCCACGTTGAGCTGCAGATGATTCTGCTCACACCACGTGACAAAGGAGTCGACCACAGCCCGGTACTCTGTCTCATCATCCCTGCTGATGCATCCAACCACCGCAGAGTCATCAGAAAACCTCTGAAGATGGCATGTCTCTGTGCAGTGGCTGAAGGGTGAAGAGGAAGGGGGAGAGGACAGTCCCCTGTGTTGCTGATCATTTTGTCAGACACATACTGTGGGAGACGTACATATTGTGGTCTTCCTGTCAGGTAATCAACAATCCAGGACACCAAAGAAGCATCCACCTGCATCGCTGCTAACTTATCATGAGTCTCCTCATTTGCCTCTGAACCTGGTCATCAGTGAAAGTGTTGGGGCGGGGAGGGGTGTCAGGATTCTCATCGGAGGCAACATGTGAAGAGAGAGGCAGGTACAGCGGTGTGGCTCTGGATTTCAGGCTGACTGCAGGTGAGGTAGTAGGATGTGTGAGCTGCCCCTGCAGTGCCAAATCTGTTTTTACATGTTTCATTCTTGCAGTTTCACAGCATCAGGCCCTGATTGTCGTTCCTCAGTTGAGTTTTCACTTTGAAAACCATCAAACACTTGAGATTCACACGTGTTTGTTTGTTTGTTGCAGGAGTTTCGCTCTGAGTCCTGACCTCCTCTTTGTGCTTCTGTGGCTTATGAGGCCATAAATTGGTCACCGTGGCGACCAGCAGGATTATTGAAAGTCCCTCGTCTGACTTTCTGAGGTCAGCCGCCACTGTTAGTGTTTATCTCATATTATGTCACATCTAAAATCCTGTGTAAATATGAATGAGTGGTGATTAAATTAAACAAATAAAATGTATTTTTCTTTTTTTCCAGTGTTCACCATCACTCTGCTCTGCAGCTGGTCTCCTTTTCCACTTTGCGGTCACTTGATGTTGAAGAGGTGAGTGTGTTAGAGGAAATGTTAATGTCAGGTTTAGTCTGTATGCACTCAGAGGTCATTTGTACCTGCTGCTGCTGCTGCGGTTGTAATGATGTAAACCCTGGTTGGTTGGATAGTTGACAGCATTTACTGAGGCAAAGCAGAACAGCTGCTGATCCTGAGCTACTCTTACAAATGGAAGATCAGTGAAGAGCTTCCCTCACACAGCATATCCTTTATTGCACATGTGTCAAAGTCAAGGCCCGCGGGCCACATCCAGCCCGCGAGATCATTTTATATAGACGTACTATTATTGTTATGCATGGCCCGGCGATATGAGGCGCTAATAATGTACAAACTACAGATCCCATAATGCAGCGCTGCAGCCTCTTTGCTGAGCGCTAGGCTAACTGGGAACATTCCCGCGTCAATCAAGTCAAACTTTTTGCGAAGCTAGCTCCTCACAATGGTGGAGAGAAAAGTTGATTCTGAAAGCAGAGCCTTTCAGCGCCAGCGGGAGACTGAATATATGTTTACAGACATGCTGGTAAACCTGTGTGACTTATTAGTGGAGCTAATGTGGCTGTAATTAAGGAATTTAATTTAAGACGAGACAAAACGTCAGGATAAGCTGAAAAACCTAAATGCAGAGCAGAAAATAAAGTAGAAGAATGAAGAAGAATCTGACATTTCAGCAGACGTTTTTCACCAGAGCAAAATCACAAAGTCAAGCTGTTGTGAAAGCAAGTTTTATTGTAGCAGAGGAGAAAGCCACATCAGCCCGCTACCACTCTGAAGAGCTGCATGATGGAGGTGTGCAACGTCTTGTGTCCAGACAAAACGCAGATTTTGGCAAATGTGAGCCTGAGGAGAAATACGATTGCTGATCGGGTTTGTGAGATGGCCACTGATTTAAGAACACAGTTGTGTGAAAGAAGCAAAAACTTTATTGCATACGCTCTTGCTGTGGATGAAAGTACAGACATGATGGACACTGCACAGCTGGCCATCTTCATCCGTGGAGAGGAAATATTGAACATTAAATCGATGCACAGGACAACGACGGGAAAAGACATTTTTAAAACATATGTCAAAGTGTAACTGACGTGAAACGTACAACAGATGGAGCGCCGGTGCTGTGCGGTGAAAAAAGCAGACTAGTCAGCAGGATGCGAGTAAAGATGCAGGAGGAGAAATGTACCGGTGAGTTAACAGCATATCACTGCATCACACACCAGGAAACGCAAGGTGGTAAAGTCCTAAAAATGGAGCATATAATGATCGCCGTAACGCAAACCGTAAATTTTATCCGAACTAAAGGTTTAAATCACCGTCAGTTTCAGTCTTTTATGTGGGAAATAGATTCAGAGTTTACCGACATTCCTCATCATACAGAGGTCCGCTGGCTGAGTTGGGATAAAAGTTCTCAATAGAGGTTTTGAGCTCAGCAAGGAAATCTGTCAGTTCATGATCAGTTGGCATGTATGATGTGGTGAAGGCATTTCAAGTGAAGCTGTCACCAGTGCAACCTGCCTCACTTTCTCTGTTGCCAAGTAATGTTGAACCAAGTCAGCGCACTTTACTGAACTACACCTGTGCAGATTCAGATGGAGCTGCAGTGTAATGATGCACTCAGGCAAAATACGACACTGAATGGCCCGAAGAGTTTATTAGTTTATTAGTTCCACTCCTGAAGCAGTGCCCAGCTCCGTCTACATGCGGCTCCAACCTTGTGTTTGCTTTCATTTATTTTTTCTGGGGTTTTGGCAGCATGTTCATATTTCTAACTTGCATAATTTTGACAGGATATATTTTTATGAAGAACAAAACATTTAAAGTTAAAGTTTCTTTTTTTAAGTTTATTTAATCTGGAATAATATTCCTGTCTGTTTTTATTCCTATTTATGTTTAAAAAACATTGTTTTAGTGTTCAATAAATGTTTATCTTGTTTGGCCCGCGACCTAAAGTGTGCCTTGAGTTTGACACCCCTGCTCTATTGGACCTGACTGAACAGCCAGAGCCTGATGTTCACTACAGTCATGGGCAGAAGAAGCACCAGTGTCAAAAATGAATCACAAAGCTGGTTTTTTTGTATATTTATATGGTAATAAAAAGTCTGTAAAGTGGTGATCTGTGTTGGGGTCCTTAATGCTGACTGAAAATAGTTTCTGACTTCTTAATGAAAAGTACCTTAAAAAACCCTTTTTTAAAATAAATATGACAGGGAGGGTTTTATGGAAATAAAGTAGATGTATTAGCTGTATCTGAAAATCCTTATCAGGTGATTAATTGAATTCACCCTGTTTTGGTGAACTTTGTGTAGATTCACACTTTTATTTAAAGCCAATAAATGTCTTGCCTTTTAATTTGACTTTATCTGCCTCTGTGTCCTGCATTTGGTTGCGCTGTCATGAAAGTGTTGGTCATTTTACAACATGAGCATTATTTTGTCTTTCCTGAAGGCATATTCAGGAAATGAGGATTAAAACGAGCGTGTCTGTTCATTTGCTTTTGATTCATGAACAGCCTGGATCAGGTCCAGACACTTTCTCCCAGTGTGTAACAGCCTCGGTGTTTCCTGAACCATTTGCCTCCAATAACCTTTGTCTTTGCTGGGCTACACTGGGAAACTCTCCACAGAGGCATTCAAAGGGAAAAAGAATCATTCTTGTGTGTGTCCCTAATTTCTACAGTTTAGACAATTTAATCAGTTTGTCAGCAAATAAAACCTCTTATATCCATCAGAGATGCTGGCTGTAACCTCATGTTTGAGATCGTTTCTCCTCCTGATTTATAGCTGTTAAATTACTGCCTGTTCGTAGCTTGAACGAGGACCTCCCTGTCTCACAGCACCACATCGCTGGCCAAGGAGGCTCAAACTCGCTTCTACTTCCTCTGGAAATTGAGGAAAGCACAAGTCCCACCTGCCCTAATGTGCTCCTTCTACTGGGAATTTTTATTTAAATATGAATAAGTGAATGAATGAGATTCACAGCTTTAGCAAGGACAAGCTTACCAAGAAACCATGCTACAGAAAGAAAATGCCAAACTTTACTTATGCTTGTCCATATTTGATTCTTTGAAATATTTTCTCATTAAGTCTAAATGTTCCAGAACAGATGCGATGAGCTTTCGTTTCCTGTGGCTTTTTGCCCTCTTGTGATCGTTCTGGGTCGCTGAAGTTTTCCGTCACCACCTCATCCTACAACCGATAATCTAAAAATAAAGCTTATAAGAGGTTTATAAACTGATTATTTCCTCTTGGCAGAAAACGCCAATAAATCAATAAAACACAAAGGTGTATGTGTTTGTGTGTTTTGTTTTGTTTTTCTTTATGGTCCAAGTTACTGAAGTTACTGGTGTGCAGATACTGTGTAACTTGATACATGTAAACACAGACGGTGAATTTAGACACGATAGGAAGACATGGAGACACTGATGAGCATCTCCAAGTAAAAGAACCAGTTCCTTTATTTAAAAAAAGATGTTTATTTAATTTTTTATTCATTATTATTGTTGTTATTATCATTAGGCAGTAGGGTAATTTCCTCTGGAGCATCAGGTGGCATTTTAAAGCCATTTGTAGAGACGTGCTGATCTCCTGATGACTGGTCGTGATTGGTGGTATGGCACCCGTTTAGTTGGGCTCCGGTCTCCTCATCTCTCGTTTCTCTCCTCCGTTTCCGGCCCAAGAGGAAAGCCAGAGGACCAACGATCCCAGATGTTACAGCTGCTGTTACAAGGAATGTGATCACTGTGATCCCTGTCCTATCAGAGGACTCTGATGGCTGTGAGGACAAGAAAACAGGAACCAGACATGTTAGTGAGTGTGGTTTGTACGAAGGTTTCAGCCAGCGTAAATTGAAACAAACCAAAAACACAATACATGTTTCTGTGCAGTTATGTTATCTACTATGCAAGGCATCAAATTCAGGTGTTGGTGGAAAGCCTGCGTGCTGTGACATCACCCCACTGCCCTCCACTCAAACACTGACCCACTGCTCCGAAGCGCTGACTGCAAATCTGGCAGAGTGGCGCCAGATTCAGATGCGCCAAACGCGCCAATAACGAGCCATCAAAGCTTGCTGTTCAGTGTGCAGCTATTTAAATGTGGTCGGTGTACTTACCGTTGGTGTGGTTGTAGGCAGAGGTGTGCTATCGGCTGCTGTGGGGAGTTGAGGGTGGACTCGCAGGCGGACAGCAGATCGGTGTCTCTCCCACTTGTCTATGTCACAGTAATAAACTCCTTCATCTTGTTGCTGGACTCCCTTTATGGTGAGGGACAGGTCTGCTTGTCGGTCCCACTCTGATGGTATCGACACCCGGCTTGTGTCAACGTCTTCCCCGTATGTGATCCCCCCTGTTTTAGCATCCAGCTGAAGCACCGCGTTTCCATTTGTCCTCCAGCGCGCAGATTTCACCGACTGGCCCGCGATGCCGGAGCGGCACGGGAGTGTGGCATCCTCGCCCTCGGTTACATCAACTTCAGAGGGGACAAATACTTCCAGCTTGATCGCTTCCAAGTCTTTGCCGTTGCAGGTAAACTCGTACAGCCCTTCGTCGTTCAGATCTGCGTTGTCCAGGATGAGAGAGAGCCCTCTTTGATTCACGCGGTGTGAATGTTGTGGTCCGGGTTTCCAGACGTTTTCCAGGGAGGCGATCAGCTCCGTGCTGGCATCATTCCTTCGTAGATTCAGTGTTCCCCGTCCCTTCAGGCACTCCTCTGACAGCAGAAACTCAACGTCATCTCCAAAAGGAGCTTGGATCAACTTTCCGAAAACCTCGCTGCATAAAAATAGAAGAATGCACAAAAGCTCAGAGTCTTCATCCTGTGAATGAGGAGGTAAAGTGCCTAGCTCGTGCGCTTTTAAATAAGGAGAATGTTGCGTAGGCAGAGGCAGTAACGCCCACCGCATGGCAGCACCGCCTACCGAAGCAGGTTTTGAAGTGTGCATTCCTGTCATCACGAATGGTTTCACCACTCCCTGAGTTACTCATACTCATACCGTAGTTTTGCCGGGGAGAGGGAAATGATGATATTTCTTTGCAACAGAAGACTCATCATAACATTACAACACACGCAGACGCAATGACAATAATAATAATGACTGTATTACGGTCTATTACTATATTATAGCATGTCTTCTTTTTAAAACGTCTGTGTGACTTTAATCATGAACAATATAGACTTTCTCTATTGTACTGTTATGTTATTCTTTTAGTTGTAGACTACAGTACAGCTCTTTGGTCAACAGTCAATACTTGCTGTTTTTAAATGTGCTAATAAATGTTTTGACTTAACTGTGACAATCAGCTGCGTTTTACTTTAAATGCATGCAGTTTATTGTGTTTATTCACTGTAATAAAGATTATTTGTAGAAACGGGTCAAAAAAGGCAAAAGGAAGGGAAAAAGGAAAGTGACGTGATGCGCTCCGGTGTTCCAGATCTACTGGCGTTTAGATCAACTGGCCTTGGTCGAACAGATGTGTGGTAGTCTTGCGTTTCAGGAGCTGCGACCGACAAACCAGCAAAAAAACGCCAAATGTGTCATCTGTGACACTTGTGAGGTTATCTCAAACACACTCCGTCAATCTTGATGCCGTTGAACAACAAGATGTTGAAAAATGTTGCGGGTGTACCTGGTGATATCCTCATGCGCGATCGCGAAAACAGCAAACAATTAACACCACACCGATGTTGTTCACAGGACAGCAAGAGTAAACGATCGGGAGACTCTTGTCGTCGTTATCGTTCCGCTCGCACGGTTTATTTCTCCGATTTCAGCGTTTTTGCTTCACAACTACAGCGAGCAGTTTACTTTGTGCACTAACATGGGCTCGAGTCAACCAGCGCCACCTCTGACCAAGTGCCACAGCCTACAGCCAGATCAACTTGTGACACACATCTGCAGCACGTTTGAATTCGTGTCATGCACAACACTGTGCATGACACGAATTCAGCCAACTGTGTGGCTCTCAGCCGCACAGTTGGCTGAGAGCCACACAGAGGGAGTGTGGCTCTCATCCAACTGTGTGGCTGAGAGGCTGCAGGAAATCCTAGCAGGGTCATTAGTGATGACAAGGAGGCTGGCTGTGTGCCCACTGAGTCACCAGTTGCAAAGCTTCCCTGACAATTGAGTGCTTTGGTATTCCTGACAGGCTCTTTAACAAGCTGCCATTAATAGCACAGATGTGGAGACTTAGCACAATGCCATTAAAACTCTGACGTTTATGTGGACAGAAGCAAGATCAGCTCAGATTTGTCCTGTATCCTTCCTTCACACCAACTGGTCACCAGCAGCCAGCTGTCTGAGCTGAGGAAACAAAAGGCACACTTACAGTCTAAGCTTTGGTTTCCCCCTAATGTTAGAGTTAGCCTCACTGCTACAGTCTCATGTTGCTGTCACAAGGAAGCCACAGGGATCCTGCACTCACTCTTCATAGAAAGTGACTGTGATATGTTAGTTTTCATAATGAGCTCCTTGAAAGTTGTCAGTCTGTTTCACTGTTTCAACCACACACATTTAAAGCACCCTGCTTTAAATGTGTGTGGTTGTCTGTGCTGGTCGGCCTGCAGGTGTTTCTCTGTATTTGACTAAGTGGTTTGTGTTTGTTCTCTGTTACAGCAACCATGATGGATGCTCTGATGCTGGTGGAGAGACGTGAGGTCAGCCAGGATTCACCTTCAGAGAGGGCTGAAGGGGCTGGACAGTGGGAGGTGAGCAGAGCTGGAAGGATGATGGCCTTCCTTCACACCAACTGGTCACCAGCAGCCAGCT